CCCCAAAACCCCAAAACCCCAAAACCCCAAAACCCCAAAACCCCGTTTATTGATTTATTTCATATTTTGATAAAATAATTTAAGTCATAAAAATGAAAAGTTTATTGCAATATCAAAAACGAGGATTCAGCTTTACCTATCCCTGTCCCCGTAAGCTAAGAGAGATAGTGAAGATATCTTTGTTTGAAAAGGAGACACCCGAGGTGATCTCTGAGATTTGGGATGACTACCATAATACAAAGGCACACGCTATCTCCAAAGTCATTCCTCAATCACTTTACCTTAGACTGCTGTCAAAGTAAGATAGCTTATTTTTAACATTATGCTTTAGTGGACAAACTTCCCCTATGTTTATATTTCCAGTGCCAAAAGATGCAGGATACTTTATGCTTCTCTCTTAAAACCAACAGAAATCATTTGTACTAAGCCTTTTCATTTTCATGACTTTAGATATTCACATATTTGGAGGACTTTAAGAAGAACCCACTCACAGCCAATCCATACCTAGTCTTGACATGCTTTGATGAACTAGTCAGAACTAAGGGAGTCGCCTTGATTAGAGGAGATGTGATTGGCCAGCTAAACAAGAATGAGGCAAAGACAGTGCTGGAGAAGCTATTAAACAGCTACTTGATTGACTCTTAGTTTGAGACTATAAAGCAATTCAATCACTAACCCTAGTAGTTCAACTATGAAAATTATACCCAAGAGTCTCTATAAGACTTTAGAAGAATTTATGATGAGGTCAAGAATACCATTCCAAAACAAAAAGATGTTGGAGTCCACAGAAAATAGACTTGGTATCTGTGAGAATTCGATGATAAATTTTCTTTAATTAACTGTAAAGACTAAAATCAAGTCGATATCATATTTGGAATGATTTAATAAACTTAAGTTTTATAAAGAGATTTAATCATCATTTATATGTTCTTCTTCAGAATATATTGCAGCTAGATGACTTAGGTTTGCCATTTGCAGCTGGTTTCTTATCCATTTCATTAAGAGTCTTTTAAGTTGGATCAATTTTGCCTTTGAACTGTCTTTAGTAGTTTAGGTCATTTTCATCAATAATTGTATCATCAAGTTTATTATAGAATGCCTCGTCTATAGAACTCCTATCGTACTCCCACTTAACACTGTAGAGTTCTAGTACTCTGCACTTATGATTCATAAATATAATTTTAGTGCAATAGTCATCCATCTCAAAGGTCTAGAAACTCATTGTGATGTACTTTTAGATCTTAAGTTAAAGAGTTATTCGGTCTAGGTAAAATACTCCAATGCTTGAAGTCTCAGGAATACCAATAAATACAAATGTTGCTTCTGGATTGGCTTTGATTGAAGTTACTTGCCCTAATCTCTCTTTATCGATCTCGACTTGTTCTATTCTATTTTCGTTGTATTCGACAACTTTGACGCCTTTACCTTAGACGTATACAATGAATACATCTCTATCCTTTATCCCAATAGTACAGTGAATTATGTCAACACCAAACTAACCTATTTCAGCTTCAACTGCTTCACCTTCTTTCGCCTTTTAGTCAATTGAATACCTATAAATTCTACCCTTGTCTGTTCCAACAAAGAAATGAGTAGCATTTGCATTGAACTCTACTGTTCTAATATTTTCATACGCCATTATTGAGCCATCAAATAGCTTATCTAGCTTGCTGTGATACACAATGAATGAGTCTTTGCAAGTGATTATCTAATAATTTACATCTCCCCTTCTATTAACAAATGCTTGCTCAACTCTTAATGGTACTTATAGCACAGAATAAAGCTCTGGTGCATCATCTTTGTTATGAATAAACTCCCATAACTTAAGTTATTAGGTATCTGCTGCCATAAGTTTAGTGTCCTCATCAAATAACATCATGCCTTGGTAAGCCTATGACTTAAACGAAAACAACATTTCCTTTGTAGCCAGATCATACTTATATATTGTTCCGTCTATTGCTAGCATCATATAATTATTTTCCATTTCTGATGATAAGCTGACAAACTTAATTCTATGCAAATCATTCGTAAACTTAATCTCATCAAATATACCTATCTTTACAAAATCTTTCACACCTACAATCGGGCATTCCTTAATCTAGTGTTGCATAAGCATTTTATGTATACGAAGGAACTATGGATTGCAAGCCACTAGTCTTTTGTTGTTTAAGCCGTATTCAACTTTCTTAAGCATCAGCAATAAGCAGTTCCTTCGCTCTTATTCTTATGCTGGAAGCAGCAGTGAGAAATTTTTCAGGTTCTTATTAATTTTCTCAATGAAATCTTGTCTAAGCTAAGCAATTTTTGCTGGATTATCTTTGTGAAGAGCTTGATTGAAACGAGGTCTGATGTATCTTTGAATTTAATCAGGGATCTTAATGGAATGAAAAACTAGCTCATCACCGCAAGTATATATCAAAGTTTTACACTCTAAGTCTACATCAAAAGCATCTGACTCATCTTAACCTAATTTTAGGGGGTTTTCCAATTTTTTAACTCTTCTGCCGAATCTCTCATTAAAGACCTCATAAACGTAAAAAGCTTTATTCTGCTTATCCTCTCTGTTTAATACTACTAAAACCTAAAACTCCTTCTCTGGGAATGCAAACAAACTACCCTTTGAAAGTTAGTAGTTCAAAAAAACATTAAGAGATTCATGATACTGTACATAGGTCAATCCATACCTAAAAATGGATTTGTCCTCAAACTTATTTTCTTATTTTCTCATCTAAGGTGAGCAGTCAAATAAGTTAATCTCAATCATGTAGGGTTACTTTTTTCTCAACTGAACTATTTTTAGTGTTTTACCATCATTAATGAGTTTGATTTCTGCTATTACATCAAATTCATCAAGCTTGGTATCAAGGAGTTGCGCTCTCATCAATTCTTTCTAAAGATCAATGGTGTCTTTTAAGGTAGCTATTTAGTTCTTGTAGTCAATGTTGTAAGTTTGAAACACGAAATTCTTGCCCTTATAGATAGCTAGGAGTTTGCAATCTTAATCTACTGAGGCTAGTACCTTTGTAGCGAATTTAGTCTAAGAAGCAGGATCCTCTTCCTCTAAAGGGAAAGTGAGCACTTTTTGAATCTATGGCCTCAATTGCCAAATATTCACACAATCTTTTGAAGTCGTTGTTAAAAATCTACTATTAACATTAATGCTAATGGACTCAATTTTCTCTTAATGCTCTGACTTTAGTTTCTATATATAATGAATTTTAAATATCTTTAAAATCTTACACAATTTTGAAAGTATGAATCCTTGTCAGTCACAGTCACAGATTGAATGATCTCCTTTAAACTCGCTCTGAATCTCTGCTACTTCAAACTAATAGACAAATCCTTCTTTTCTTCTTCAATTATCTATTCTAGTATTTATAAGCCTTTTTCTTTTTCTCCAGTGGCAATATTTATTATGCCTAACAAGCCTTTCCCAATGTCTTTTTCTTGAAAGAACTCCTTTGATAACTCAGCCATAAATTCATCATCGGATAGCTGAGCTGCTCTCCATTTATAGATTAAAAAGTTAAGCTGTGTATCAAAATGCGCTTCTTTCATACCGATTGCTTCCTCCCAGTACTAAAGAGCAAGTTCTTCATTACCATTAGATAGAGCAATCATAGCTTTCTTATTACAGACATCAGTTCTCTTGCCAACTACAGGCAACTCCATTTTATAGAAAGGCCTTTGAAAAAATTTGAGATAATCCTTAATCAGTAGTTTCTTGATTGTGGATAATTTACCCTTTCTTTGAGTGATGTTGTCAATGTTAATACACTCTACTAGAACCTGAATTAGAGGAGTGCTTTCTGCGAATTCTGCCCAGGTCAGGGGTAAACTATCCAAAGATATGGAAAATCTGTTAGAGCAGATTCTGCCAATCATGAGTTCAAGCAGGCATATTCCCAAAGCGTAAATGTCCTTTAGCATTAGGATTTCTAACTTCTCCTTCTCAGTGAAATTGCCCTTTTTCTTCTGACGGGCAAAGGGCCAAAGTGACCCCTCTGAAGTAAGTGGAAGACTCATAGATGTAGCAGGCCTGAAGTCAGTAACCTTGAAGATAAGAGTATCTTAATCTTTAGCTAATGCAACATTTGACAAATCAAACTAGCCATGCACCAGACCGTTATTGTGAGCATAGTCCATTCCAATAGCCAACTGAATTATGCAGTCGTAAATAGTCTCAATGTATTGATGTGGCACATTGATAGCTAGATTCAGATTCAATGATTCAATGTATTAAAACATATCTCCTCCATTAGTTGATTCAGTAAGTGAGAACATTTTGCCATCGTGAGATATTTAATCAAAGCATGTCACAATATTCGTATGAGTAGGCAAATCAATCCATCTTTCAAGTTGTTCCTCATGTGGAATGCCTTTTAACAAGAACTCGTCCTTAAATTCCTCATGAAACACTATAAATGATCTTTCATTTACCACTCTGCGGACCTAAACAAATTGTCAGTAAGTATCGTAAATTAAAGTCATAAAATATCTGCCATTCATGTTGTTAATTATTTGAAGAGTCTATAATTGAGTTAACTTACAATGAGTTTGCCATTTAATAAGCGAGCATTTTACTCAAGAAGAGGCCTTACATTGACCTCCAAGCCATTGACTGAAATCTAGTCTGAGTTAGACAGCCTGTCAAAGCCCTGTTTTCGTTTTTAGGCTGAGTTTTTATGATCTTTACTATTTCCATAAGTGCTTGTAAACATTTTATCAAACTTAATGATTTTATTGAAATAACTATCCTCCTCTTATTCGTTTTATCTTAATTTTTGGGGTTTTGGGGTTTTGGGGTTTTGGGG